AAATCACAGCAATTCACAATCTCGATAAATTTGCTCTCGACGACGAGTGCAAAACACACACTTTATGGCTCACTAGCTCGAAACTAACAGAATCATAAATTGCACTGAACTCAAAGTAACTACTGCTCTCTCTTCATTTATCTGTTCCACCACCCCAAACCCCAAACGCCCGCCCCCACTGCCAGGCTTATATACTAACGAAGAGGGCAACTCGAACACACTTGGACTTCCCTGATCATTCGAGAAACTCGTCATGCACGCAACCAGCACCAACATGTGACTTCCGCTGTTGTAACAATACACACACACACACACACATAAAGCAATGCACAATTTAAGGTCAACTGTTCAGTGTACTTATGAAAATACAACTGTCAAGTTTCTATTGGGAATAAAACGATGTTATTGGGGTCCCAATTACTCATTGGTATAATGGTAAAAGTTTAGTTGTGTTCTACCAGCATAACTGAAAGTAGTACTAAGTATAATACAATAATAAAAATTAAGAATCTGTACCACAGTAAAATATTGATAAAAAAGTTGAGCTGGTAATGGTTTAGTGAAACCATTAAAGCTAACCCACGGAACGAATTTACGGAAAGAATGTTTAGCGCGGTTTTTCTTTTTTTTTAATTTTATTTAATATTTTTCCAACTACGTTAACGGGAGGTCGACTGTATTTCTTTATAATTATTTATAACTATAAAGGAGTTAAACATGGTGAATAGATTAAAAATAATGACCGATGAAAATAGAATAGAAACTAAAACATGTTCAAACTAGAAACTATCAGTTAAATATTAGTACTATTACTAACATTACTAAGTTAGTACTAGTAATTACTATTCTTACTCTTAGTTTACTATTAGTAGTACTACTGATATATATATATATATTACATATATGTTCTTATTTTTTGCGACAGTATTCTAAAGGCAATTTCCTTCAATATTTCAAAAAATAGTACAATAATTTCAATAAAAAAACATGCCTAACACATAAATAAACTTACGCACCTGAGTTGGTTATGTACTCGCGACGAAACAAGAAGTCAAAAACTCAATATTTAATATTATACTATCTTACACATGATATTAACATAACACTAACACACATCTTGAAACAACATTAAAAAACAACCTGTACCAGTACTTCAGTAATAAACAAGCGTAAACAACGTTACAAAATCTACACGAAATGACTTGTGGGAATGAAGGACAAAGCTAGTCATAAATTAGAAACACAGAACATTATTTTTTGTTCACGACAAACAAAATGGCAATGTTTGAAGAAGCTACTCTACAAGTGTTACAATACAGTATACTTTTGTAAGTTTGATGACAGTTTGTGGGAAGAGGGAAATTATTTTACACTGTTATAGTTAACAGTACAAAACTCATAATTACATTGTACATTATTAAAGTATATTACACAACAAAGAGCTGTAATACTCCCAACTGTTCTTTTATTAGATTGTACCTAACTCCCCTTCACTTTTAGTTCAAACGTTTTTTGTTTTTGTTTTCGTATGTCTAGTACTGACGTATTGGTTGCTTTCAAATGTTATTTCAAGGTTTTGTTTGTTTTAGAGCAAAACCATATTGGACTATCCGCTGTGTCCACCAGGGGGGAATCAAACTTTGGAGTTTACCTTTGTAAAATTTAATATTGAGGTTTAAGTGTTTAGACCTATTGTTTCGTCACAAAAACGTGACTAAACTCAGGTCCGTAAGTTTATATATGCATTACGGATATGTTTTGTTGAATTTATGTTAGTATTTACTCAAATATCGAAAGAAATTGCCTTTGCAGTGGGTTTTCGCAAAAATCTGAATAAGACATGTGTATGGTTGATATACTTATGAGCGCTACTAGTAGAGTTAAGAATTTGGCACCTATAACTGCCAAGTCTAATTCTACGAATGGAATTTGGCGGCATATCTTACTTCACGTCTTTTTTCAGTGTTTAATTTTTTACCTACAAGAATACATAAAAAATTGCATATAAATTAGGAAAACTTACTCTTGCGGTAGGGGTAACCCATCCTTGATACAGAGTACTGGGGAGTGAACAGCGTCTCCAATAACTTGTTCCAGTCTCAACATGCCACCATCGTCTTGAGTGATGTAACATGGTGAACCATTGTTAAGAAAACACATCCACTGATAATACATACTTGTATTTTCTTTACTGGGATCATAAGAATATGATCCATTCAAACAAAATGACTTTTTATAACCAAGTATCAGTACTTTCATTCTCGTACTTGCCACTAGGTGTATTTCTTTGGTTCTAATAACTTTGGATGATTGGCCCATCAAAACTCGGTTCCTTTCATCAATAACTAGAATATCAAAAGAAGATAAATATAATATTAGCTTTAAAACTTTCGTACAAGGGTCATTTCTCTTTACATGTATCATGTTCCAGTCAAAGTTTCTGCCTACATGTCCACTAAACAATATGTACTGTTTTGACAGTCATTCTTATTATTTGTCCCAATAATGACAACAACAAAAACTCATTTCTAAATCAAGTCTTTCTAAACAACCACACACCATAAAATTACTTGTTACTTAATATTTAGATGATACATTCATCTCAACTTCTAACAATACAGGTACATCCTGCTATCCTTCAACTGTTATACTTCTTCATGTTACAGTTTAAAAATAATCCTTCCCAAGGTATTGATTTACGTATCACTCAGGAATATGTATCCAAGTTTTAAATGTTAGGGAATACGTGAAATAGTAATATTTGTACAAAATTCTTTTGTAGATAGTCTAATTACAAACATCAGAAAAAAATGATTTCAGTTAGTTTTCTGTATTTTCATTCATAAGCCCTAAGGCATCTTTGATTTGACTTTTTGTGTACATAAAAAAGTTATTTTGGACACAATGATATCGTAACAAGTAGGTCATCTGTACATGTAAAAGTTCGTTTGATTGTTTTCAAATTTCGCGCAAAACTATTCGAGGGCCAGATGAGTTAATCGTTTCTAATTTTGAAGTCATAGACTAAAGGGAAGATAGTTAGTCAACATCACTCCCACTGCTAACTCTTGGGATGATTTTTACGAACGATCCGTAAGATGTAAACCCCCCCTACGGCTAAAAAAGGTATTGTTACGTCTTCGTTTGTTAATTGATTTTCCGTAACTTCGTTCGGACGAAACTTTAGCGACACAAGTCCTTACTTAATAAAATTGGTTTATTCTTTCCGAATACAACTTTACGATACACTTATTTTCAACAGTTGCTCTATAATAAACGCTATATCAACGAACGTCAACAATACTTTTGACTGCAGTTCAATTACTCACTATCTACACACACATTATTGTCCCGTCACGTTGTCACCCTCTTTTATATATCAGACTACCCTATATCTAGTAAATGCTAGAGCATTCGCCAAAGTACAGGATAGTTCTTCAGTCACTTTGACTTCACCTTGATGGCACCTAATTCGTTCAACCTCTCTTTTAACAGCTACAGGAACTTGGCCTTTATTGTTCCCAAACGTCATTTTATCAAAATCAATTACAAACTTCCTCGGTAGTAGATAGTCCAATCCTAATATGCATTCGTCTTCCATGCCAGCCAAGTAT